TTTATATAAACCTCAACACAAGCAACATTGACAAGAAAAGTATTTTACTCTCCACTTCTTACCTTGTAGTTAAGTAGGCTGGCAGGCGCCCCTCTGGAATAAACCGGAGAAGACTGGCTGCAACTGGTTTAAACCGGTTCACTCTGCTTATTTAACCGCCGAATCTCCGTCACCATGGCAACAGCACTCAAAACAGGCTGAGCAAAAACTCGCTGTTTCTAGTAACAGCAGTTTCAGCTTTTAGTGTAGTTTTTATTAAATGCAGTCAGAAAAAAACTAAGAAGTAATAGCTTATCTTAAATCTGTTATTGAATTAAATATTATATTAAGCAAAAAAGTCCAGTAGAACACAATGGATTCAGTTTTCAACTGTGCACCTTATCATGTCAAAAAATGGGTGCAAAACAGTGACTAATGTTTCCTAATATGTGTCTAAAGAACATCATCCATACAGTCCTTTAAACTATTTATTAAAAAAGAACGTTCCATTAACGTTACATTGAGAACGTTTCAGACTAACATTGTGAACTTTTATCAAGGTCACATAACGTTTACAGAACGTTCTATTGACGTTATTGTGAGAACGTTTGCTCCTAACATTAGGAGAACCTTTACATAACGTTAGTCTAAGTTGTGGGAACGTTCCCTGTTAGCTGGGTTGTCCCCAGAACCATCAGGCTCTTCAACTCTTCCCAGGGGGCCAGAAGAGAAGAGGGAAGAGGGAAGAGGAGAGATGAGGCCTGAATCTGAATCTCAAGTTAAATCATAGGTTTTATCTCATGCTAAATCTTAGGTTTCATTTTGTGCATCTGCACATGTGGACACCTTACTGTACATATTGCACTTTCTGCACGCCTCTTTCATCTCAGGTTATACATATTATTCCAGATTGTTGTATTTTTCTATTTGTATATATGCCTATAGATAGGATTTTTTTATATTTATTCTTCCTATTATATTCTTTACACCCTTATTACTATTACTGTCCTGTGTTGTGTGATTGCTACTGGCTGCTAAATTTCCTTCAGGATCAATAAAGTATCTATCTATCTATCTACCTACCTACCTACCTACCTACCTACCTACCTACCTTCATGCGTTTTTTTTTAACCATTCATAAATTCCCTTAAATTTCACTGCAAGGCATCAAAGTTTGTTGGAAAATGCGTCCACATGATGTATTTTGTCTAAAACTTTCAAATTCCTTCATGAAATGTACATGTAATATTGCACCAAATTTGCCAAAATGAGTAAGGCTATAGTCTTACCTTTGTGTGGTTTTCGACCATTTTTAAATTTCCTTAAATTTCACTCCAAGACATCAAAATTTGCTGGAAAATGCCTCCAAAATTTGCCAAAATAAGTAGGGCTACGGTCTTACCTTCGTGTGCGTTTTTTGACCATTCATCAAATCCCTTAAAATTCAAACCAAGGCATCAAAATTTGCTCGAAAATGCCTCCACATGATGTATTTTGTACAATATTTGGCATATTCCTATGTAAAATTTACATTCAATATTGCACCAAATTTGCCAAAATGTGTAAGGCTATAATCTTACCTTCGCGTGCGTTTTTCAACCATTTATAAATTCCCTTAAATTTCACTGCAAGGCATCAAATTTTTTTTGGAAATTGCCTCTACTCTATGTATTTTGTCTAAAAAAATGTTAATTCCTTCATAAAATGTAGCGAAAGACTGCAGGTCACGTAGCAGCGGTTTCGCCGAGCTGGTAGCGAACAAAAAGGAAAAGAGACAGACGAACATTTGGAGATGAATGGACTTATTTGCATTTATAAGCAGCGCAGTTGGTTTCCTGGTACGTTAAATCTGCAACGAGAGGCTGTCAAACACTGAACAGTTGCGAAGATGAAGTTGCTTCTCTTTCTAATTTTTCCCGTTCCACCTTAAATGGTGCCGCTTTTACATTCGGCACCTCAGTCAGAACTTAAGGTGGAACCGGAAAGTTCAGCAAGAAGCGACTTCAGCCTCGTAAAACAGCCGAAAGCTGAGAGACATTTACAATAAACTGCTCTAGTTTTGAGGAAAGGTTTTCTGGCGGAGATGGAGGAAAGCGGCTTTAGGTGAAGCTGAAAGCAGAGCGGAGTAAATCTGCGCTCTCATTTATATTTTTTAGCCTAAACTAGCACATTATCACATACTGACACACACTGAGACATACTGGGCATTAAATGTTGTGGCTCCCAAGCTGGTTTGATTTTTGTTGAAAGGTCAAAACGGCTCTTCTTATCATTTGTGCTGTGACTCCTGACCTAACCTGGCTTTAATGCAGAGGGAGCCGGTCGGATTTCTCACTCATCCAGTAGTGTTTTTGTTATGTGCCGCCACAGACTGTCCGGGCACCGCACTTACCCACTTCCAGTTCCGCCCTTTGCGTTCCGTCAACATTACGTTATAAATGAAATATTTAGAAAATCGATTTTTGACATTTGTGAATCGATTCATAATCGTCCACGTCCGCATCGCGATGCATCTAAGAATCAATTTTTTTCCCGCACCCTTTGTATATATATATATATATATATATATATATATATATATATATATATGCCATTGGTCTCCCCTTTGCAGCTATAACAGCTTCCACTCAGTTTCTGAGCTGCTGAGCTAAGCATTTATACTGCTTATGTTGGTTGAACTACAGTGTTAGGTGATATGACTGGTACAGTAGAATTGAGGTGTAACTACTGTGCTATAGATTGTTGTTGGGGGAGGGGGTGTTTTGCAACATTTCATTGCAGTGCATGCAGAAGATTGAAGTGCAGGCCATTCGGAAACAGGCTAACATTAATAAAAAATCAAAATTATTTGCAGAGGCCAGATGTGGCCCGCAGGCCCTGTGCTTGACATATGGGGGGCTAGAGTGTCTGGCAATAAAGGTGACTTCTTTTTCTCACAATAAAAATATGTTTCCAATGTGACTATTGACTAGATTTAATTACTGTTAAATTTGCAGCATGTTTATATTTGTTTATTTACAGTATTGTGTAAAAGTCAGAGACCACCCTTCACTCATTTAATGTGGCCATTAATTACAAGTTATTCATTTTTCAGAATATGTCTGAGAGATTACATAGACGATCATCCACTTGCATATGGAGAGTCCATAACAGGAGTCCATAAAATGATTAAAAGATACAGAATGCAAAATCAAACAAAGAAGCTGCTGGTGTTCTCCAAACAATGGACTGTTCACCCTTGAGTCCAGACCTTAACATAACTGAATGTGTTTGGGATTATTTGAAGCGTGAGAGGTAGAAAATTCAACCAACTTCTAAGATTTTGGAGATGTGGAAAAATATCCATGGTATTATGAACATTCAAAATATAATAAAATATGATAAAATATAAAAATCTGTGTAATTTTCTGTTAAATATGTTTTCTACTTTTTTTGCCCTGATGTTGAATGAATAACTTTTATCTAATGGCTGTTGACAGGAAATTAAAAAGGGAATCAAGGATTAAAGACGGTCTTTGACTTTTGCAGAGTACTTGCAAGTAGACCATGAAAAAGACTGAGAAAGAAAATATTTTTAATCCTTTATTTGTGAAATCCAAATAACGAAATTAACTGCCGTTACCTCAGAACCAGCAGAGGGCGCCAACGCTTTGTTTAGTGATAGTGATAGTTTGGGCATTGCACTGCAAAGTCATATTCGACAATACATTTCTTGTAGTTTTATTGATGTCACTACCACATTGATATGTGTGAACAGTCCTATACTTAATGAAGCAAGCCATTATCTGATACTGAGCACGCAGAAGACTCGGTTTGAACTTCTTGCAATTGGTAAGAATAAGCAGTATCTAGTAAAAATATATATATAGGTATTGTGAGCATAGGAAAAGTAAAAACTGAAAAACAGCAAAATATTTACACAGTGCTTAAAGGGACAATACAATGTCACAAAATGTACAAAAATAGTTATGTATAGTATATTCCTCTACTGTATACAAACAAACATTTTGACTACAATGTTCAACATCAAAAAAGTGCAATTTTTTGACTTTTAGGTTAAGCTAGCTACTGTACTCATTACACTTACAAAGCAAACTGCATATGTGAGCTCTGCCATACCGACAGACTACCTGTGAAAGACACTATGATCTTATTTTAGGGTAGTTGCCCACCCTGTCATCAGTCGTCCATTTAGGAGATAAACGTTATCTTTTCATACACTTTGATACATGAACTGGCAATAGAAATAGAAATCACAAAAAGATATCAAAGAAGTGGTCAATATATAAAAAATCCACCTCACCATATCTACATTACCATGCAAGCAGGTTTCTGACTGGCAATATGCACCATCCTGTTGTTCATTCAAATTCATAGACCCCTGTTTCTCAACATGCCGTCTGACAGTCTTAAAGGTTGACTTGTCAGACCACGATACACATTTCCACTGTGCATCAGTCCAATTTAGGTTAACCCGAGCCCAGAGAAGTCAGTGGTGTTTCTGAATGTTGTTGACCTATGGTTTCCGCTGTGCAAAGTACAGCCTTAACTTGCATTTGTGGATGCAGCAATGGACGGTACTTATTGAAAATGGATTGTCAAAGTATTCCCGATCCCATGTTGGGATATCCAAAACAGAAACATGCTTGTTTTTTAATGCAGTCTGGGGGAAGGTCATGGGCATGTTGGTTTTCAGCCTTGCCCTTCATGCACAGAGATTTCTCTGGATTCCCTGGATTTTTTGATAATATTATGCACCACAAAGGGTGAAATGCCTAAATTCCTTGCAATTTCTCGTGTTTTTTGACCAGACCTTTCGTAGTTCCTCCTTTTGTGGACAAGCATCACCAGTTTAAGATGTTTTTTGAACATTTAACAATGGGCCACATTCACCAACTGTTCTAAGGAAGAAATTTCCTTTTAAAACCCACTTATGCAGTTTTTATATTTATTTTAAGATTATGAGATTATGACATTCACCAATGTTTTCTTATTTGGGATTTGTTCTTCTGTAAGAACAGAATCTACACACACTCAAGAGCACAAAGGTGAGAACAGTTCTGCAGTTTAATCATGAATCTGACGTAGGCTTTTTCTAAGGACGTTTGTCAAGAACAATTTTAAGAGAATCGTAAATGAGGCCGGACGTTCCTAGTCTTACAGTGCTTTTGGAACATGTTGTAGGCCTCAATTTCAGATTGATTATATATTTAGGTCCATAAGGTAAATATTAAGTATCTTTGTCTTTGTACTGTTTGTTTGAATGCAGGTCAAAGTGGATTTGCAAATTCTGCATTTTTAGTTTTCATTTACATTTCACACAGTGTCCCAACTATGTGCTATGTGTGTGCTATATAAATAAAGATGATTATTATTTTGTTTATATATGTGAGGAGAACCCAAAGACAAATGTCCACTATAGTTTATGTAATAGTTAATGTAATCTAATCTAAATAACTAAACCGTGCAGGGCAAGGCTGCTCCATGACCAGGACTGAGAACCACTGCCTTAGAGATCCAAAGACATGCGAAAGTGATGAGCCCTCTGAGCCAGTTCTTTGGCAAAGTCTCTCGCTTCCTGGATGGCCACTTTGTCAGGAAAGTGCAGGGCAGCCTTCTTAGTAGCCACGGCCAGTTGCTTGAGCAGGGCACATAGGTGGTTGCTCTTGCATAGAAGTTCCTGACAGTCTGGTCTGCTCTGGGCTTCAGAGCACAGGGAGTCCATCAGCCTCTGACCCACCATGATCACCAGCTTGCCATGGGCAATGAACTTCTCAGGTGGCTGGCCCTCTTCCAAGCTACCAACAAACACAGTGATGGCTTTCTTGATGGCTCCAAAGTAAAGACGGCAGTGGTCTGAGATTTGGGACTTGCTGGGACTTTGGCTTTTGCTGGGAGGTCTGGGAGGCACCGGTTTGGAAACCTAATAAAGACAAGAAAAACTGAAAATTAGGACACGTACAAAAGATCCACTAACAGGTCACAGCCCATTTTGTAGAGACTACATAATTTGTACATTTTTGTCACCTTACAAATTACTTACAAGCCTTACTAACAAATTAATAACCATAGCAATAGGATGTTCTAATATGTTGAGATAGGAAACAAACACTTTACTGCTGCTTACAAGTAGCACAGACTAATATTCGTACTTCCTGGCAGTCTAAGTGTGTCATCATTAGTGCTGAGGGCACCCAGACAGGAAGGCTGTACATGTACTTAAAGAGGAAATAAGAAGTAATGATGAATAGGTTTTTTGAACTCCATGAAGGTTTTTTTCCCGCAATGGCAACTACAAGCAACACACAGTTGTGACCAGACATCCTTTGTGCTTGATGTCTGTTCATATTCGAGGCATAGTTTTCACTCGGACATATATTTGCGGAGAACGTGATTACCTGTTTTCCTTTATTTCCTTCATTTGTGTCTGTTTTTGTGTCGTCTTTTTCTTTTATTTGCTGTTGCTGTTCAAACTCTGTCTTTGTCTGGAAAGAACAATGACAGAAAAAAGGAAACTGAAAACCATACATAATTGTATAGAGGAATCTTTTTACTCAGTAACATTATTAACATTACATTATTGTATTTTAATACATTAATACATTAATTATTTCCCCACACATGATGCTTGTGTGGCTTTATTTACAAAAAAAGAACATAATTCATTTTTACATGACCATTTTCCGACCTCTCTTTATCCCTTAGAATTGGACAGGCTGTTTGGTCACTGTGCTTTTAAGACCAGTATATGTAAATGAGCTCTGTTCTGATTGGCTGCGCTGTATTGTGCCTTGTTAAAAAGCAGTCCATAGCTTCAGCTGGAATGGGTGGTGCTAAACTACTGTAAGATGAATAGCCAGATGCAAGTAAATGTGCTGGTTTTCGTGACATCCTAGAAAAAATGAATTCCAAATGGGCCATTTTTTCAGCATACTTTACATATATGGACTTTGTGGACTGCAGAGTAAATGGTACATTTTTAAATTTTCACAGTGTTTATATAATACATTAAACTACTGATCACATTGCTGAGGTCTATCATTTTTACACCAAAAGGATCCCAAAAAGAAACAACACCTAACACACTTCACTTTCTACAAGTGGGAAGTTTCTATAAAAAAAAAGTTTAATTCATTTTACCAAACTTGTGACTCAAGCGATTCAGTTTCATGCTGGCGTAGGTGGTGTAAGCCAATGTCATACATTACACTAAGAAACAAAGTTTATACTGAGACATCTAAACTAATTAAAGTATGCTAACCAGCTCTGTAGGAAGGTAACATGCTAGCATGTTACAGACCAATAGACAGGAATTAAGTTTAAATATTAACCTAATATTGGCAATTATTTCATGTCCTTATGTTTATGCTATCAGCCTGGCTGCCTTCATAATGTCTCCGTGCTCTATGGCAGTGACTGTTGCCTTAAGACTACATGGGAAGACTATACGGGCTTCCCCTAAAATTTCGTCATGACACAACCATGAATGGTTAACAACTGCTCGCAAGTCTGCGATTCAGTATTTTTAGCTTTATGTAGTGTGGAATATCGCTATATCATTGCAGTCTGGTGCAGTCAAAGCCAGTGGAAAAGTTGAAGCAGGGCTTCAATCCAACTTAACAGAAGATTCAAACACATGCTGTTTTAGTGGAGCAAGGATCAGTGCTTATTGGACAGCAGGCTTTTACAGCGTACTTTTAGGTCCCACATGCACGGCTGGTTTTTTATCGTCTTGTTCAATCAGCATTTGGAGAATATTGTGTGTAAACGGTAAATACAGAGTTCTGAGTTTGGCCATTTTCTTTTATTTGCTAAGCTGATTGCTGATAACAGTTAAGCACTTAGAGGCTTTGGATGAATCAAGAATGAAGCTACAATAAATTAAAATCCAGAGTGCCTCATGTGGCAAAAGCAGTGGTCAAATCTTGAGACAGAAAATTTCAGAAAATAATTCTAAATAGATAATTGCACTAAATTGTTTTTCTTTTTATTGTTCATTTTTTATTTTTCCCTAAACATACTTGAAAGGTTGAGTATCTAAAAATACCTTTTGCTGTCTGGTTTACATTTAAAGCTACATTTTATAAGTTATTATTGAATATAGAATGATATTGTAATAATAATACACAGTTGTTTATGAGCACTACCTTTCTGCTATTACATTATAAGATTCAGCATTAACTGCCCTATGCCTCAGTTCTTTTGAGTTTTCGTCTCTTTTTCAGCAATGACTGAATAATTATCTTGGATCAAATGATTGGAACCAATCAGGTTCGGCTCAGTAAGTAATCGCTGTAGTGTCTCTAAGGTTTGACTCATAAACCGCTTTTCGGTTCTTTCACGAATCGGACATCACTACTTTCTATGCTCATAGATAGTGGGTGAACTAAGAAATTCTGTTACAGTTCTGTAGGATACTGAGCACCTAATCTGGTACTGTTGTTTATCTACTCAAGTTTTGGAAAGGAACTTTTACTTGAGTCATTATTTCGCCAAAGTAGCACTACTTTTACTCCAGTTGGTATTAAGGGGACTCTACCCACCACTGGTTACAGCAGGGTAAACACTCTGCTTACCTGAAGCTGTACGTAATCATTGTCATCTCCCTCTGAGTCTGGCAGTGTTTCATTCCTGCCTAGGCTTGTTCCTCTGTCAGAGGGACTGGCGTTCTTCGATGTCTCTGGCTCCTTTGAAGAGCTTCTAAACAGAAGCTTGCCATTAGCATTGAGGATGGACACTAGACGCTTCACATCTTCAGGCACAGTTCGGGCCACCATGACAAAGCGTTCAAGCTGATCTGGAGTGTGTGGCTGTTCAGGATCCTGAACCAGAGCATCTAGAGACCAGCCCAAGCCACCAAGATCTTGCACAGACTCCTGAAGAATGAGTCCTGAGTCTTCCACAATGGAGAGCTGCTTCTGGAGCCGTGCCTGCAAGTTGGAATCAGTCAGTCGCCGGGCATTCCCTCTGACATCCAGAACAAAATCAAGGAAGCTGTTGACTGAATTTGCCACATCCTCGGCTGCTATGCGAATTTCCTGGAGATGCTGGCCAAGATGCTCCCGGCATCTCCAGCGGCTGCTAACAAAGTCCATGAGTTTCGGAATGGCTTTACACACCACTTCCTGGAGATCCAACAACTTTTGGGACACATCTTCCTGGGACATTGTGATCTCCCTTAGAAGCTCGGGAGAAGGAGAACTTAGCATCAGGGAGTCACAAGAGCTCCTGGAAGAGCTGGAGGTGGTAGAGGAAGTTGACGCGGTTGAGCTACGTTGGTTTTCAGACAGAGACAGACCTCTGCCTTTCTCCACACTCTCCTCACTCTCCATGCTAATTGCTCCCTCTTGGGACTGATTAGACATCTTTGCCTTTCTGCCCCATGATGGGCGTCCTCGAGGAAAGTCATACATGGGTCCACTGTTACCTCTGTACTCGAGAGGAACAGGACCCTTGTCAGAATCATTCAAGTTTACCTTTTGCTGCTTTTGAAGTGGTAGAACCTCCAGAGAGGTTTCTTTTTGCTTGGCGGCAGGTGGTACATCATAGATGCCTTCATTCCCTGGCTTGCTAGAGTCTACACTTTGTTGCGCAGCCATGCTAGATTTTGGGATGTCGTAGAGGGAGCTTGCAGAGGTTGTTGCAGGCCAAACTCGTGCCGGCAGTGTGTCATAAAGTTGTTTGCCTGAATTCATGCATTTGGACGGAATGGTGCCGGAGTTAGCAGCTTCACCTCTGGACTTCTCGGGTGCCACAGGCACATCGTAGATCCATTCAGATTTGCGTGGGTTGGGCATAGTGCTGTAGCCACAAGCCACCCTTTGATGAGCTTCACTGTTTGAAGGCACAGGGATGTCATAGTTGGGCTCTTGAGGGATTGAGGGTGGTACTATATAAACCTGAAAAACACACGTACGTTCAAACTTAGGGATCTAGATAACACTTTTGCAGTAGATTTCAAATATTACAATGACATTTACTTCTTTTCTTATCACTTTTACTGTACTTGATAGACAGAAAACTGGCACTAATTTGGTGAACATGACATGAATGTGAATGTTAACAAATGTCCTTTATGGGAAGATCTGCAAGATTAATTATACTGCTATATTCTATACATACGTTGTTCTGGCATTGTTTCCACTTTCTATTTTCCATGGTTTCATATCTCTTCTGGATCTCTGTGGCTTGCAACAGAGAGATGTTCCGTACCAAAGGTCGTGGTGATGCTGTCTGAATTCATCAATAAGTACAACAAAATTCTTTGTTAATAAAATATCATGAAGAGAAACAAAGAAGTGGATAAAAGGGAAATTCCGTCTATACTTTAAAACATTATACAGTTTTTTAACTTAAAAAAGTAAGTAACCTTGAAGTTAGCTTAAAACTTTGAGTTCACTGAACTTGTAAAATTAACAGAAGAATAATTTGTGCTTTGCATCTGTTGAAGTTCAATGAGCTCAAAATTTCAAGGTAACCTGGTTACTCAGTTTTTATGTTTAGAAGCTGCATAATTTGTTACAGTGATTTCTTCTTTCTTCTGCATAATTAGATCATTAAGGTGTAAATAAAGCCATTTGCAGTGGTTTAATGTGAAATGCTCTTTCTTAGAGAAACTTTTCACATAAGCATGATTCACAGCTGTGGCAATAGGAACCAGACATCTGCAGAAATTAATGCTGTTAAAAGATACCTCATAGAAAGTTACTACATAAAATGGTTATGAATATGCTGTCGGACGCCCTTGACACTGTTTTAGAATAGTTTTGAGACAAGGTTTAGGCCTGAAGTATATATCTTTAATCTATTCATAGTGGAGAGGTACATGCGAGGTGTTGTAAGGCAAAACTTACAAGGACACTTGTACTTTCACTGTTCGGATATTGAATAAAATGATTATATTTGCATTGTAAACATTGCAACTCCAGGTTCCAATCACCACCTCTGTGAAAAAATCTCTGGTAAGTTACACCTTAGCAAATGAACTTACTGTTATTAGGGAGCCTTTTCTAGCAAGGTTTGGAACATCATACACATCTGAATCGGGACTGGCGGAAGGCCGTACCATCTGCAAAATGCAAAAAACAAAACTATATCTGTATCTTAGGCTTGTTGCTTTGTTACTTTTAACAGTAGCATTTGTTTTAAGCAGCTGGCCACATTAGGACGTGCTTTTTTGGGCAGACATTCTCAGCCCAGTACGTCTGCCCAATTAACCCAGTTCTCTAATTAAAACCATGATGTGCATTAACTGGTGGAGTACTACTGTAAAGGTAAATATTTTTGCCTTAAGCACAAGGGGAAATCAGCAACATGTGGGCCTACCAGACCTCCATAGCCATCCGTAGCTGACACCTCTCTCTCTTTCTTGCTCTCTCTCTCTCAATCATTCTCTCTCTCTGCCGGTTGCAGTTAGTGCTGTCTGAAGTCTTTTCTGTTCTTTTATGGGCCCATAAACACTCTGTGCTGCATGCCTGTCCCTACTGAGACAGACCCCTAGCCCCCATCTGCTAGTGCTTTAGCCAGCAGGGTGACTGCCTCTTAGCCTGAGTTAGCATTGCTAGCAAGGCTCACTGACCTAAAATGAAACACTTCTTCATGGTGAGGTGGACTTTACTAACCTCATATGCAAACGCTTAGATATACACTCTTAAAAACAAAGGTTCCTAAATGGTTCTTGGCTTGGATTTATGCAAGGAACCTTTAACTGGTATGGAACCTTTATATTATGTGGAGGTTCTTGAGGGAAGCAGAGGTGGTTCTTCTCAGGCATCACTCCAAAGAACCACTTTTGGTTCCATTTGGTACCTTTATTTTATAAACATATATGTAGATTCTAAGACCTAAGTAGTTATATCTCCACCCTTAAATGCATAGCTGTTTCTTTAACCATCAAATCGCTAACAGCCTCGATTTGTTTGCCACCGAGTACAAATATCTAGAACTAATTGATCTACTGCCGTTATAGTGTAAAACTGTAGAAACTTTCTGTTAACCATAACAACATATCAAAATAAATTGCTATATTTTCATATTTTGTCATTCTAAAACATGAATGAGATAGAGGAGGGTAAATGAGGTCATGGGTTGCTAGCAATAAGATGTTTAACCCCTTAAACCCCAAAGCTCCTTTTCTAGGCCAATATTTCCATTCCTCCTACAACTTCATTACTCACTTACCAGTTTCATGGTACAGTACTGTGCAAAAGTCAGAGACCGCCTTTCATTTGTGTAATTTACAATCAAAATTGCCATTAAATACAAGTTATTCATTCACCAGAAGATATTTCTAAGGAGATTAGATATAAGATAATCTACTTGTATGAGCAAAATCAAGCTCTGCTCTTGCTTCAGGTGTGAAAAATCGCTATTATATTATATTTAGTAGTTGAGGCGTCTGTGTAATTTTCTGTTACATTGTAGCATTCTACAGTCAGGGGCGCGTGGGAGGTGTTGCCATGCAGCCATGCGAGGGGGCTTCTGGGAAGTACCATGATCGCAGCAGGAGAGACTTTTCTCCCTTCCTTCCTGCTCAATAAAAGAGCATTCGACTCTTTAACGCAATGTTTCCTGCATCTTCTTCTCCGCTAAAGGAGATTTTTTTCAGCTTAATGACCATTTTGTCTTAAATAAAATAAATAAAGGGTGCAGTCTGTGGTAATGTAGTTACAAAATGATTTGTAACAGTGACTAAATAATATAATGTATATGTGAGTAATAAGCTCGCAGTTTAAAGTGCTCGTTTTTTAAGACAACAACCCTGTCATGCTTACGGTGCCGAATGACATGCACTCTTCATTTAGAAATCTGCAGGATGCCTACCCTGTGTGGAGAGACGGTTCCCTCAGGCACCTCCGGTGTTTTGTGTTTCTGTGGGAAAGGCATGGTGACTTGAGCCGCTTGCATGGAGGGCACCTTATAGATGCGCTCCATGATCTCATAAGTTGGGCTGGCTGCTAAGGGCTGTGGCACTTTGGGGATTTGATAGATGTTCTGGGTTCTGAGGCCCAGGGCTTCAGCCTCTGCTTGCGAAAGGCGCATCAGGCGGTTGGCTGGGGCCAAACCTTCCTTTCCATGTAGAGAGCATTTCCACCAGCCAGTGATTCCCTCCACATTCTGCTCTATCACCGTAACAATGTCGCCCTTGTGGAAAGCCAATTCATCCGGGCTTTCTGCCGTGTTGTCGTAGAGAGCTTTGGCAAAGAGGGTCTGGAAGAGGCAGGGTAGAAAATACAACAGCATTTAAAGCAACAATACACAAACAACTTGCACTAATGTCCTCTTGCCCCAAATGTAGTCAACTGGCCAAGATGTGTTTGGTGTCTGAAGTTTGTGTCTTAAGTATCGCACTGGATCTATGAGGCTAATGAAAGCTTATGTACACAACTCAGCATTTTGCTAACTAGATGCCTAAAACTTCACACACTTGCCTCTAATTGTATTGCGTTGTTAAGTAATCTTAAATAGCTATGCTTATGTGACACTGTGTGACATATTCATGCTTTGACATGACTGTTACTGCTGTTTTTAGTAGTGTTACTATGTTAGAAGCAAACTACGGACACCAAGTGTGTTAGCTGATCATCTGCATTTGTGCAAGAAAGAACAGTGTCAGTAAATTTGAGCCACAATGCCAATTCTAAACAGAAGATGCATGTGCTTGGTGACCACTGGAGAGGTCAGTGTCTTCCCAATGTGAGATTCAGAACAAACAGTGGCTTTGTATGAGGAGGAGAACAGGCCCAGCCGTAGCCAGGCACTACTGCGCTGTGCGACTGAAAGAATGCCACTGACCTTATTACCCTACATTCTTCTTGGCCAGAAACACAGCCTTGTAACACCTGAAGTCATGGCAGCCTAATCCAATGTGGAATCCTCCAAGCCATTACAACAGCATGTAAAATCACACTGGAGATGGTCTCTCCATGGCTTAATCAGTCACTAATGGTATTAAATGGATGTTAATCTGTTAAAATATGGTATTAAACTGTCCATACAACTTATTCTTGTAAATATACATAATGAACATGCAAATGGGTTTTATTTTTTACATAAATATAACACCCTGCATCAACACAGTTATTCCCTAAAGTTAGTACAGTCGAAATGATGTTGATGTAACACATTTAACATATTACATCAACATCCTTTATTACAAAAATGTGTAAATGTATGCACTTTAACCGAGAACAGCACTACGCAAAAAGCAGCAAAAGAGACCACCCTTTTCCCAACCAATTTCCTGTCAAAACAGTCATTAAGTATGAGACATTTTTTCAGCGCCATTCAGTTTTCAGCACCAGGATAAAAAAGCAGAAAACATTACACTGAAGCATCAGCAACTAAATATATATTAGTATTTTAATAATAATTTTACATATTTTTACAGTATTCTTACATTACTACTACTACTGCTTATACTAATGCTAATACAAACACTATTATTACATAATATCATCACAGCTTACATTCTTTTTGAGACACTTGCTCTTAGTTTTTCAATGAAAATTCAGTCTTAGAAGTTGTTTGCATTTTCTGTTTCTAATGATCTAAGTAGTCCTAAATAATGTTTAGGTCTGGACTCTGGGATGGTCAGTCTATTATTCTGAGAACACCAGCAGCTTTTTTGATGGATTTTGTCTTTTTTGTCTATTTTTTTCTCATAGCCTGATTTTCTTTACTCAGAGCTTGTGTTTCTCCAGTCTCTCAAAAACGAAAGCTTTAAGTGCTGTTTATCTGATGGTGACAGTTTTGGTGGTCTACCAGGTCTTGGCCAGTTGTAGCGGCCCCATTTTTTTTTATGATTTTAATGACTTTTTGAGCTCCAGTTCTGGAAACTTATTTTCTGTTGACATCACTCTTCTTTATGCAAGTGTATTATCTTATATCTCAGACGTATCTCCTGTAAAATGATTAAGTTGCAGGTAATGGATGTTTTGACCGGAAATTAAAGAAATGAAAGATGGTCTCTGATATTTGCACAGTACTGTACATTCAAGGCATTATTTTTTACAATGTTAATAAGCTTAATAAGGGGTTAACTGTAATTGCTTTAAACTATCACTGCTGTGCTTCTGCTGTGTGTTTGAGGTTTTTTTTTGTTTGTTTTTTGTCTTTATTGTGTTTTCTGTTTCTGTCTTTTGTCTCCTTCCTGTCAGCACAGGTTGGTAGGCCAGCCATCGGAATATAACTGGAGTTCTGCAGCCATTCATTCAGCTGCATTAGGATGGCAGTGGCTGCAGGCAGGTGCAGGGAGGAAAAACTCTTTTATGCATCTGGCTTTAGTTTCCTCCCACAGCTTCCGTTAGACAAATAAAAGGAAGCCATTTCCACGCACTTCTCCAAATAAGTGTACATTTTTATCCTCTCAGAAAGCCCCAAGACTCCAGCATACACAAGAAAACAATGACAAAACACAGTGTAATAACATCAATCAGTAACACTGTCATCCATCCGCTTTCTGTAAACAATTGCACTTTTCTGAATGAATGGCTTTTCCTGAGAGCTGGAAATGTAATTGTTGTTTTGCTGTTCATTGTATGTTCTTGTGCCCAGTTTCAGACATCCACAACAACACCTGCAAAATCCTAAACTGAGCAAGAACAGTTGCTGCATGCAATGTGCAGGACCACCGTTCTTCCTCCCACATACACACATACACACACTTGTGCACGCGTCCCTTTAAACCGAGGCCCATGTGTTCAGAAATTCCTCAGCAGCAATAGTTTCAAACACACACTCTCACATTCGGGCCACGCACCACTTCAGGGTCACCACTTGCTTCTGTAAACGTGGCTAATTAAGTGTACAAAAAAGAAAGAATCAGTTGGAGAGTAATAATGAACGAATGAAGAAGGAATGGTCTTCTATAACTGACTGAACCTGGAGCTTGCTCAGTAATAGTAGTCCTGTTTCAGTCTACAACATGCTAATGGAATTACAAAATGTTCTAGTCGACATTGCACTGTGCTGTGTTGTTATTGTCATTGAGTGGACCTTTCAGTCTAGGCTTTGAGTGGGAATCTGGGGAAATTACAGAGATACTCTAACTCGAATGAACCAGCCAATCATATCCCACATACCACATTACGTAACACCTGATTAGCCTATGTTTTTCCATCATTGAGGAACATATGGTCTCCAAATGGCAAAGCAACTGGATAGCTTCATAGCCTCATTCGCTAACTTTTTTTCTGCATAACACACTCCTATTTCTTAAACGGCCAGAACCCACTGGTGGGCCCACTTCTATAACCTACAATGGCTCAGTTAATTTGCATTGAAGTCCCTGTAGTTACTGAATAATAAGCCTTAGTATATAATAAGTCTGTGATTTTAATGGGTTAATATGTAAGTGTAAGTCAATTATGTTGACAACTGAAGTTAACCCTTTAAACTGTAGGCTCATTATATGCTTTTAATTATTCAATAACCAATATGGATTATTCAGTAACCACTATGAACGATTTAGTATTTACTATGAAACTAATCTGTTAATCATGTAGTGATATTAGTGAAGAATGGAAATGTGGAGACACATTAATCCGTGTCTATGAAGGCAGGCCTCATAGGTCAAAGGGTTAATATTAGAAAGCCACAGACTAAACCTGACAATTACATCAAATTCCGCTGCTACTTTAGATTGTAAGAGAGTACAGAAAAGAACAATACCACATTTTTCACAAGTGATGAAATGTGTTAGAGAGAATTTGCACTAATTCAGTAAAACATTGCACCATGCACGCCACACTGCAATGTTTTGACGTGTGAAGTGACTTCATCACATTTCCTGTAGCTGAGCACACTATTCTGAGGCCCTGTCTGAAACTGTGGCCTTTTTGCTGTTGGGTGCACTGCTCTGGAGTTTGCTCTTAAGTTTTAGTGTTGTCTGAAAACATAGTGGAGAATACATGGTACGTTCCTATGATCCCACAGTGCACTGTAATACATAAGATGTACACTAGCAGACATAAAATTCCCATAATGCACTGTACTATATGCTACCGAATGTGACTACTGTGGTAGAGTGAAAGACAGTGAGGCTGTGTTGTTTATAGTGCTTCTGGCTTTAATATTTTAGGAATAGTGATTACATTTCTGGTCCATATTATGATCTTCTATAATCACCTTGTTTTTCACGTGAACAATTCATTTTTAGATTATGGTCGCAATATTCGGTTGGGGAAGGAAGCGTGATTCATTAAGTTATTTGGTTATCATGTCCCATTAAATGTCTCTGTCTATCCTGGGATAATGCCAAGGTTATCGGCTGACACTACAGATGAGTGAAAATGAAAGCATGGCGAGAACAAGAAAGTTACTAGTATATTAAAGTGCTTGAGGAGAGAACGTTGCTTCATAATGACTTCTTTAAAAAGCCCAGCTCTTATCGTTGATATCCATGCCCAGAAAATTCAGCCAGGTTACGAATTGCCCGTTTAACGTCTCAGGTTGCTGCTAACAGACTCTCTTTAACTGGTTTACACTGTATATTCTTTGTAACTGGATATATTCAGCCCTCATTAGAGTAGGCTGAGCAGGTCAGCAGGGAGCTAACAGGCTAACACTATAATAATAAAAAGCAAACTTTGAGTTCAAGCTTTAAATGATGTTAATTCAATACGGAGTCCTACAAAGTAAAGAGTGTTACCTGCATGCCTGTTATACTTAATGTGTAAACTAGAGCTGATATCACACCAATAGTGTCGAGCTAACCCTGCTAGTCTGATGCTAACAAACCATGGTGAAAAACACCGGGGTTAGTAGCAGATGTAAGTATTATCATAGTGCTTGTTTTTAGACTTCAGTGAATTAAAACATTTGTTCTTCAAACATAGCTACATAATGGCTTCCACTTTATGGCTTTGAGAGTAAACAAAATAAAAAGGATTAAACAAAATGACTTTATTACCATAAGTAATTCACTGCATGCTGTAAATAGAATCCTCTGACTAAAGTGTTTCTCTCAACTTTCTGTTGACAGATCGATTGCAAACACACAAGCCTTGAGTTAGCTTTTTATTTGTTTATATACACGGTAGGATGTTCTAAGCATTTAACGTATTGTCTGTTTATGCTTCGCTGGAAGTTCTGTCCATAAGGTATAAATTAGGAATAAAAACTCTTCTGCAGAACTTGATTTTTCAGAAACGGGACTAATTCTTCCCAGTTGAATTTCGGTAGTTCATCATCAGTGCAGTGGTGTGGGC